AAATTCAGCGTCTTGCAGCACAGGTGTACTGACCCTTTTCTCTGCTGGGCCCATTGGATGATGTACATGAAAAACTTAACTGTGGCCATTTCACTGAAGTCAAGGTCTAGGAACACCTCCAAGGGAGCCAAGGGGTGCTCCATGTTGGGGCTGGAGCAGTGCACAGCCACTGATCCTGTCTGAGAGCACTTCCAGGTGCTGTGTCCACACCACATTCTCCAGAGGTTGACATCCATGTTCCTTAAATCCAGCACCCGCAGTTTCCACCTCCTGGGGCGAACCTCTTGGGCAAGCAGACCGTCAAGCCCCTCCAACACCGCTTTTAAGACCATGACTGGAGGCAGCCTCATCAAGCTCCCCAGAGGGAGGACAGGGAAGGGCCAGGCTTGCACCAAAACCTTCAGGGGCTTCCGCATTCTCCTCCGGCAGGCCTGAATGAACAGTGGCGGGAAGAGCTCTGCGGGCAGGTAGTCCAGAGCTGCGATGGCTGAGGCCTCATCCCTCAGCAGGCTCTCTCCTGCCAGCCACAGGAGTGTGGGTGGGGTCCGGATGCTCATCTTCAAGGTGCTCAGAAAAAAATCCAGCAGAAACGTCTGCTGTGACGGGGTTGGCTGGGGCTCAGATCTCAGACCTGGTGGAGAAGCACAGCACTGACTGTAGAGCTGGAGGACTCTGAATTTCTCCTCTGGTGCCTGAGGTTTTATACACCTTCTCAAATGCTAACAGCCAATCAGAAACCTCAGTCTCCACCCCTTTATTCTAAAGGGATTATTGCCTCTCTCCAGATTAATGGATTGAGAGAAAGTTAGGGAGGGCCAAGGTTGAAGCCTGGCTCATAGATTCCTTTCACAGACACTGACTGAGGTTGACTGATGGCCCCTAGTTGTCAACAAGCTTTAGTCCACTCTCTATTCTACCAATATCTCTGCTTTCTTGTTCAGTGACTCCAACTTCCACACGGAGTTCTTTCCAGAAATACCACATGCATTTAGTCACAGGCACCCCCTCCAGTACCCACATGGTACTGAGCTCCCCTTAGAGCCAGGCACTATGCTAGGAGGCCCTGGAATACAGAACAAGGCTCTCTGCTCTGGGGGAATTTTACTCCCAGGTGTTTTTTGTTTGTTGTTGTTGTTTTTTTATTTCAGAGAGGAAGGGAGAGGGAGAGACAGATAGAAACATCAATGATGAGAGAGGATCACTGATGGACTGCCTCCTGCACGCCCCCCACCGGGGATCGAGCCCACAACCTCGGCATGTGCCCTTGACTGGAATCGAACCCAGGACCTTTCAGTCCACAGGCCGACACTCTATCCACTCTATCAAACCAGCTAGGGCTACTCCCAGGTTCTAATATTGTGATGTCTGCAATGCTTGAGAGCTCAAGGCAGGAACTTCCAAACTGTTTCCCCAACATTAGTGTTGTGTGAGACATTAATAAACAGTCCCCACCAAAAAGGATTCTGGTTAAGAAAATTTGGGAAACAGAATTACACATGCTAACACGTATTAGGAATTTTGAGGAGGTTTTTGTAAGTGTTCTTGACCTGCAAACCATCTTTCCAAGGAAGTCCTGTTTGAGATATTCCTCTGATACCCTTGGAGAAATGCTGGCTCAGGAGTAGCTTTTAGCCTGCTCAGTCCTTCAAGTGCAAGGACCACATAGAAGTCATTCAAGTATACCTCCTGGTTAGGTGGGAAATGGATATCTACGTGATTTCCCTTTACTCTACCTTTTCCCCAGGTGTGTGTCGTATGTAATTTACCATCTCAGTCTATATTCCTAGCCCAGACCTCTCCCCTTAGCTACACACCACATATATCCTCCTGTCCTGCCGGAAGCATCCTTGCTGCTTGACACAGTCGCTGCAGGGAAGAAACATCTGCACAGCATGTTTCAAGGGACCTGGCGTATATGGCATACTGTTCTTAATATGTTTGCTCACCTTCTTGTCGCTATGTGTTTTAACCAAGGTCACCTCTCCGAGAAGGTTGTTTCCCCAGATAGGGATTTTTCCCTGAAGTTAGGGAGGGAATAAAACCCCTTAACTAAATGCCAGGCGGGTAGTTAATCACTTTAACTACGAACAATCACCCTTAAGCTACATAATCTTTACTCCCTGGAATGGAGATAAGAAACGCCCTAACCTTTGGAATAGAAATTGACAGGATTAAAATCAACTGGTATAAATACAGATATAACAAGACAATAAAACACAGAACTTGGCTGGAGATCCTGGCTAGAGATCCTGGCTAGGCTGCTGATCAACTGAACGCTGTCTCTGTGTCATTCCTTCTTCACCGACTCCGTCCACACCTTTGGGGACCCCTGGACCTGCTGGGGTTGGACCCCAACACTGTCCTCTGGACAACCACCTAGTGGAGATCTTTAACAAAAGGTCCAGCAAGCACTTCAAATTTGTCCCACACAGAAGTGATTATTGCCTTTGTAAAATGCATTTCCCCATCTGCATCGCCTAATGGCCTCCTTACTACCATCCAACCAGAAACCTGGAAGGTGTTCTGAACACCATCCACCCAGCCAAGTTGTCATTAAGTCCTCTTGATTCCTTCTACCTTCCAAGAGGCTCTTGGATTTACTCCCTATACTGCATCCTCAGCTGCATTATCTAATTTGGGGTCCTCACTACAATGGGTCTCTAATGGCTTCCATATTAGGCTAGGTTTCCTGGGGAAAAGATCTGGTTTTCTGCAACGTGCATGCAGGAAGACTATTGGAGAGAGCTATGGGGAATCACCCCTGTGGGGGTTGGGGGTGGCAGATGTAAGACCAAGCAGAGGGAGAAATTGAATGTCAATGTGGTTACAAGAGTAGCCTCAATCAGTCCTACAGGGTGCTCTGGAACTGGGTGACCCTTCACAGTGGTCCCAACTTGATACAAGGGGCTGAGGTTGTATGACCTTAAACCAACACATGTCCACTCTTTTCAACCTCTACCATCCACACCAACCCTTCTTCCTCCACCCCACCCCAAGGTGGCATAACCTTTGGCCAAGGGCAATTCCAAGAATGGACCTCAGCTAAGAGCCGCCAGCCACCAACTCTCCCAGAAGGTGGAAGATTGAGTGCCTTAGCTCTGAGGGGGTTGAGGTGGCATACCACAGCATCCCTATCCCTAATCTTGCTGCTTTTCAACCCCCTGTGACACTACTGGAGGAGTTTTACTAAACCCAAATTTAATCACACTACACCCTTACTCATAACCTTCCAATAGCTCCTCCTTACCTACAAGATAATTCAATTATGATCTCTGTCTACCTGTGAAGCCTTGTCTTCCACAACTTTCCTCCTGTGTGCACTCTTGCCCCACGAATACCAGTCTCCTAATACTTATCAATCCTTCTCGGGTGCTGCTGTCCCTGCTGAGTATGAGTGTGTCCCACTTCTCTCACTAACAAACTCTTATTCATCCTTAAGGGCCCAGTACAAGCACCCCCACCTCTGTGATGCCTTCCTTAATATCCTCAAGCAGAGGTAATCTCCTGTATACTCTTTTTCTGCTCTTGCAGTTATTTGCTTATGTGACTGACCTCCTTAAGAGCAAAGCCTGTGTTACCTTCACTTTTGAATGTGAGTGAATCAGCCATGTGCATCAGTATTGTATGAAGCTTTGTCTACATGGGCTGACTCAGACTAACTAGAACTGTTGGTCTAGGCAGCTGTTTTTGCAGGGACTTAATCTAGTTGTCCAAGGAGGGCTGTAGGCTGTAGGGGAGGGACTCTGTTTGGGGAAATTCAGCTGGCTTGGTATGTATAGCTCTATGCAGTTAATAAATAGTTCCCATAGTACACATGTATATACACATGCATATAATTTATAAACAAATAGTATTAGGGAGTCTACACTCAAATCATTTTTTTACTAAGTAGCATATGGTTAAAAAAAAATACTTGGATACCCCTAGATTGGACTCCAAAGACTGGAAGCTTCTTCAGCCTTCACCCAGTAGCTTTCCAGCTGATCTGATTGCTGAGCTAATTTGTGCTAATGTGCACTTAAGGTCTTAGGGCAGTGGTTCTCAACCTGTGGGTCGCGACCCCTTTGGCGCTCGAACAACCCTTTCACAGGGGTCGCCTAAGACCATCCTGCATATCAGATATTTACATTACGATTCATAACAGTAGCAACATTACAGTATGAAGTAGCAACAAAAATAATTTTATGGTTGGGTCACAACATGAGGAACTGTATTTAAAGGGCCAGAAGGTTGAGAACCGCTGTCTTAGGGGAACTCTGAAATCTGGGATCTGGAGCAGTTAGGAATGAAAGGTAGAGACAGGCAGAGGAGCAGGGCTACCTGGGGAGAGCACAGAGGCTGCATCTAGTCAGAGATGGTGAGCCATCTCGTAAGGAATTGAGAACCTAGACTACAAAGAGCCAGGAGGTGGAGCGGGAGACGGCAATAGGCCAGGCAGCCAACTGCAGGGTTGAGGGGATATGAAAGGGCAACAGTCCCAACCTCCACGAGGAAGACGCCCACCTGGCTCTCAGTGCGGCTGGAGTTCATATCAGAGTACAGCAAGCCAGACACCACATTGCCTTTATAATGAGTCAAAGCGTGGGTATACATATTTTTGGAACACCCTCTATACTATTTCCTATATCCTTACCACCACCCAGCCAGCTCTAGGTATTCTTATATCCATTTTGCAGATGGTGATAAAAAATTCAAACAATAAGTTTGTTTAGCCCAAACCCTATATTCTACAGATGAGGACTGCGAGGCCCAGGTAGGGTTAACTGATTTGCCACAGATAAAATGCAGATACTGTCAAAGCCTCAAAGCCAGAACTCCACCTCCTCCTAATTCTCCATCGTTTTGTTACACTTCCCTGCCAGCCCACCATGGTGCTGAAATCAGAGGTCAACAGGCAGAAAGCAGGCGTGTGGAACGGCTAACACGTCTTCTTGGCTGCGCCTATCCACTCCGGCTCTTCCCAGGCAGTTTGTTCTAACGGCCTCTGTGTTTCTTTGCAGCGTGCAAAAGAAAAGAGCAAGAGCACGGGAAGGATAGAGGCAACACCCCCAAAAAGCCCAGGCTGGTCTTCACAGACGTCCAGCGTCGAACTCTACACGCAATATTCAAGGAAAACAAGCGTCCATCCAAAGAATTGCAGATCACCATTTCCCAGCAGCTGGGGTTGGAGCTGAGCACCGTCAGCAACTTCTTCATGAACGCGCGGAGGAGGAGCCTGGACAAATGGCAGGACGAGGGCAGCTCCAATTCAGGCAACTCATCTTCATCAAGCACTTGTACCAAAGCATGAAGGAATAACCACGAACTAAAACCTCGGTGGAAAAGCTTTAAATAAAAGAAATTTTTAAAAGACAAGGACCTCAACATAGCAGGTTTATACTTAGAAATATTTGAAGAAGGAAAAAAAAAAGTGTTATTTATAGTCCAAAGAAACCAAAGACTTAGCTCACCTGCATTCTGACTTTGTTCGGAGACACACACTTCAGCGGGGCGACAACTTGGCAAGAAAAGTTATGAGCAGGAAAACACCACTGGGTCTCACACCTTCGATCCACGATCCTTCTCGCTGTGCTTGGCTGTTTCGTGGTTTGGAGCAGTGATTTTGAGCCATTGAGTGGACATCTTTTAAGATCAGACTTTCTCACCTGTTCCACCGCGCCACAAAGGTGTATGGTGTCTCAGTACTGCGTGTGGGTGCGTGCACTACACACACACACACACCACCACCACCACCACTACCACCACCACCACCACCACTACCAGTGGTCAGGGACTTAGGCAGGGCGGGCCTTCAGGAAGGGTTGTGCTGTAGGAGAGCAACCATCAATGTGGGGTTGTCTGAGTTCATTGGATTAGGATGTGATGTCGCTCGTCTAGCCTATTGTTTGAACCTGCCAGGCCCACAACCTAAATGCAGATTCAAACCCAGCAAGGAAAATTTGAATGACACCTAAACTCGTGCATTCTCTTTGTTTGTTAAGGACTGTTCAGATATTTTTTAAGAAATGAAATAAGAGTCCATCCATTTAAAAAAAAAATCATCACCTAGGTACCAAAGAACACACTTAATATTATAGCGCAGGTATTTTATTGCAATGATTTTAATAACCAAAGCTATTTTTACACAAGATACTATGTAAAGTTATACATATGAACTGATCTAGCTGTAATACACATGCCACGTAGAATCATGACTATTATTTATGACTCTTAAAGCATTTGAAATATTTGTTTTCAGAACTGGCAAGAAAGAATGTCGCTCCAGGGAAGCAATTGCTACCATAATAGAGAGTTCGATGCAGGATGCACGTACGCCCCCGTGGCACACTCCCTTTCGGGACCCATAAATGTCACTGAGGTAGACATATGACATGAATCTGTTTATAGCTGGGAAAACCTGGGGATTCTGCCAAAGTAGGATCCCATTTATAAACTAGAAAACTAAGTTCACACAGGGCAGGTAACTAAATTAGAAAATTTGTTTAAAGTAATGCTTTTCGGTAAAAAGACCATGGAATTAAAGGACTCCATACTTAGATTAATTTGACAAATTTGCTTCATGCCTTTGACACCAAATACCTTTTAAAAATATTTTATAAACACTCAAAGAGAGCCGACCAATTTTATTATTAAAATGAACTATCTAACATTTGAATAATTCTAACAATACAATCAAACTTATTTTATTGCTAATCTCAAACATTTGATGACTTGGACATGAATAAACATAGCAGGTCCAACCAAGAAATGGTGGGATGTAGAAAAAGCCAGAGTCCTCAGCTGTTCACTTCCTTCAGCACAGCCCCCGGAGCGTACCACATTCTTTCCTGCTACTGCATTAAGCTGGACATTTTATAACATAGATTTCACTCTCTAACAGGGACATGTAAAAACTAGACCTGAACCTCCAAATATAAACATTTAAATTCCTGTTTTCCCAAATCACTTAACCAGGCCTGTAGAAATCAAGGCAAAAAGGAAAAAACAAACAAACAAAAAACACAAAAAAAGCAAAAGATAATACAGTTGTACTAGTAGTACCCAAGTGAATCATTTGATTTCCACCCCCCCAAATTCTCTCTGAATTCCATTGAATTATCACTCATATAAGTGGATGTCTTTTGTACTATTGGGTAAAGAACTACATAGTCTTGGTTAATTAGCACATCTAACTAGGAATATAAAATTAAACGTTATCTCAACAATAAGGTGTTTATTGAGAGTCATTAAAATGCTTTAAAAAATTAAACCATCTTGTCTAGGTCTAGAAGAGGCAGGCGCCTGGAGAGAGGAGGCCACACCAGCCAGCCACCTGTCTCCTTCGTGTCTGCTGGAGGAGGACAGGAAGCCGGCACATACTCCCCCTTTCATGAAAGGACGTATTTGCCTTGACATATGTTGTCCGTTTTCTTTCTCTCGCCCCAAATTCCAGCTTAAAAATTTTCCTTCTAAACATGGCACAATTACAATACAGCTATTAAAAGATACCATGTAAATGGCCACCCTCCAAGATTTGCTAAAAATTTAATCTTGTCAATTACATAAACTAAAAGGAAAAAAACCGATTAACGTTTTCTCTTTCCAGGAATAGAGGGGACAATGGGTACAGCTACATAATATACTTATAATTTAGGAGGGAGGAAAACCTTATTTATTTAAAACCTGAGAATTTTAAAATCAGGGAAATTCAAGCTGTGTCTACACCCAATCTTACCAAAGTCAATGCCCCAGGAAAAACAAAAGTAGAATTCAGGTGACCACTTTTTTTTGCTTTGATTTTACAACATGACCCTGCCCAGTTAATCTAACTGCATTTTAAGTGTTCAACCAATTCTTTTGGCACTGTGTAGACACAATCTCAAAGAATATTACTGCATTTTTAATATTCTCACCATGCTTTTTTTGAAAAATAACCAGTGATTCTATTTGCTAACACCAAAGATAATTTTCATACCAGCATTGAATGTGCACCCATTATGCAATTTCAGGGCCTAGAGATATATTTTCTCACAAACAGATGCACAAATCCAAGCCTGAAAAGCAATGTTTTACTTGACTGTTTAAGCATCTTCACAACCTCTGCTTCTGAGAAATCACAATGGACAAACTCAGCTTCTCACAAGCAATACACTTATCCCATCAAGTATGACTGCTTCTGTTCTGCTTCTCACTTGCCACAGAGAGAGGAAATGCTTCCGTTCCTGTCTCACTAATTTACGGCTCAGGTTCTAAACCCAACATAACCAAGGTCACATGCTTTTGTTCACCCATCATTTCCCGGCCCTTGAACAAAATTCACCTAAAAACACATCTCACTCTTTCATTTGTTTGTATATTTATTCCAAAACTGCACTTCAAATAACACATTTTGGGTTTGTTTGTTTTTTTTCACAGAATGGAAATTAGACTGGTTTTGGCCATAAATCATTTATGTCCTCTCATGACCAAACGCTTCCCTGAAAGGAAGCCAAGAGAAAGAGTGGGAGGTCTGGACACCCCAAAAGCCCAGACTTCGGTAAATGTTCAGGTAAAAGAATTCTGGGAGCCAAGAACTGAGAGTTCGATCCCTGGATGCAGCTGGAATAGGCCCCCAAAACCAAAGAAAATGTGTGGGGAAGTTCTAACTGAACATGTCACTCACTCTGCCTCCTTCCCCCCAAAAAGCATAATTAATTTTCCAGGAACAAAAGTAAAAGCACTATGCTATGTTTGGACTTATTCTCCACTCCCCCCATCCCCCCCCCACCCCCCGCCCCCACATTGCTACCCCAGGTGAATGACCCATCTTTGCAGGTTAAATCCAAACTTTACTATACCAAAGAGTCCTAGGACATTTTCACATGAGCTATAAAGGCATTTTCCCTCAAAAAGATCCTCCCTTCTTTGTACATAAAGGATGAAAACTATGCATTTAGCAAACAAAGAGAAAGCACTTCTCCCTTTCCTATCTAGCTGTTTAGGGTGCATTCAAACACCAGAGGCCGTTTTGAGATGCGACTGGCCTTCTGGATTATTCTTGTGGTGTGGTTAGCTTTACAGTGCATTTGGTAACTATTTCCTAAATAGGAAGGACAAAGAAGCAGAAGGTAAGAAATAGCTACTTCCACGTGTAAAAAAAAAAAGAAAAAAAAAGAAAGAAAAGAAAAAAAGAAAAAAAAAGTGTAAAGATCTACTATTTATAGTGTGAACCAAAGACGCTACCTCACTCGATTTCCATTGGTGATTTTAATCACATTGATATGATACCAAAGAATACCAAAGATATTTTCATGCACGGCCTCCGTCTGCAGAGGGAACTCCACCCCGACCCTTCTCCCACCTCCTCGCCCCTCCTCACTCTTCACTCAGTGTGTAAACTTGTCTTCATTCTTAATAATAATGATACCACAACAATGACAACATTAGGAAATACTACTCTTATGACTGCTAGTTCTACTTGTAAATCTCTAGGCAAACATGTTGCAAACTTTGTAAACTCCTAGGACGAGTGCCTTGCTTGAACCAAAGTGTTAAACCGCTGTTGACCTCTCTCACCTTATACTCTTTGAATACCTCAGCCTCTTAGAAAGGCCACTAATGGAAAGAAAAGGAAAAAAAAAAAAGGAATAATTATTCACCGTGGTGCTTTTTCCGTGCAACCATGCAATGAAACTTTCTTTGATACCAAAGGATGACTTTTTCCCCCAATTTCTTGCTGAGAAACCAAAGCTCCTCCTCCTCGTTCCCTCTTGAGGTCCCCCCACTTCACCGAGTCCCTTCACCAGGCAGGCCGTGCATCACTTTTACCAATTCCTCCAAATACCTCATAGTAATAACGTTTTAGGGTTATGTTGTATAGAGAGTCTATGTGATAAGGCAGAACTTACTAGTTTGATAATTGTTAAGGTTACTTTGAAAAAAAAACCAACTTTATAATTCTTATTTATTTTGTAGTTTGTATGTTTGGGATGTCCGCCCCCTCCTTGCTTCGGTTTGGGGTTGATTTTCTTGGCAGAACTGCTCTGTTGCTCAAGGAAGACTTAATTTCTGGATATGTTCCCCGCGTGGGTTAAGGGTTGTGTAAAAACTGCAAGAATGGAATAAGAAATGCTTTTCATTTTGATGGTTACTTATAAAGTTTTGTGTTTCGTAGTAAATTTGTTTCCACAGGGTAAAAAAAACATATATATATAAATATATATATAATCTCTTTTTTGTGAAACTGGTTTCTATTTTCTCTATAATGTGCTGTGATTTTTTTTAATTTAAGTACATTTTATATGAGCTTATTTAATCACTGCTTTAATTTATGACTGTGTAGTTTTTAAAATGTATATAGTAGAATCCAAACGGC